GTCCCGTGCTGTGCACCAAAACTCTTCCAGCTACCTACACCAGAGCTCAGCAAGGACATTCTGCCTCTCTTTACCTTAAGATTTTAGCAAAGATGTCACTTAGGCCAGAAAATCCTTGTTAACCACGCCTCAATCCCAAGTGAGATCAGTTGCTCTCATGGGACCAAAGCTTCCCCATCTTAGCATCCGTCACATTGCTTATAACTTTCCTCCAATTCCTTCTAAAGGAATTGGCAGTATCTCTCTGGGTCACTGCTACACCTTCAAGAGCCAGCACACGAGTACACAGTAGAGTATAAGGGAATAACTTTGAACGCTTGGATAAATCTCTTGTCAATCAAACATAAATCGTAAGATCATCTCCTCCAAGTTGTATCATGCTGTTTCTGAAGATCTTCACCTCATGGAGCAGAGGCTGCTGTAAAGAAGCAGTGTTTTTTAGATCACCTCAAACCCCACACACTGTGGTTAAAAGCAATGGACAAATTTCAATTTCCACATTTTTTTTCATGCTTCAGGATAAGGGATGACATCAGAAATAAAACTTCAAAATCCACAGCGAAATTAATTGGTTAAAAGAGACAATTTCCAAGGTATTTCCCTTCTAGAAGTAGTAAGAAACTGCTGTTAAATATTCAAGGGATGGATTTGCTAGAAACTAGTGGACAGTTTAGAAAGTGATTGAACCCAATTAAAGATGTTTGAATTTAACCAAAAATAATTTTGAATTTTATATTATTTCATCTGAGACATCACTATAACTGCTTCATTTTATATCTCCTTAAAAGTCTTTAAAATGTATTTCAAATGAAAAGTTAAAATGTATTAAAAATTCGTCTTACTGATTAACCTAATCTCCACTTAAAAGGGATTTTTAAAATATTATAAAGTAAAATGTTTGCAAAACATTTATCATATTTAACATTTCACATATTATCCTCTAATAATACATTGAAGAATTAAAATTCAGAAAAGCTGTAATCCCAGCACTCGGGAGGCTGAGGCAGGAGGATCATTGCGAGTTTGAGATCAGCCTAGGCTACAAAGTGAGTTCAAGGCCAGCCTGAGCTGCATAGCAAGACCCTGTCTCAAAAAGACAAAAAAACCCAAAAAACAAAAAACAAAAAACTCAGGAAAGAATCATGGTTACAAACTAATAGAAATCTCTCCATGCCTGAATTTATTCAACTTTTTCTGATGCCTTCTGCATGTCACATAACATACTAAATAGCTCAGAACTGAGACATGAATATGCTTGCCCCTATTGTAAAGAAGTTTACTCTTCATGAGAGAAATGAACAAATACAGTTTATTGCTCTGAAATTTCAGGACTGATGTGGAAGTATACATGGAAGGCTACAGAAAAACAAGGGAAGATGCTAACCTTGAAAAAAGTTGCTGTTCTTTAACACAATGGAAGTCGCTCCCTTCACTGACATTAAATGAAAAGAAGTAGGTAGACGTGACATATGGATTCAATGTTTCATCTGAAAATTGTAGTGGAAAATATGAAGAGCATGAAATTCAACCTTTCTTCTGAAATGTAGCAGTAATGAATGTGTTGGGTTTACACTAAGAAAAACTTCAGTGTTTTGGTGACCCTAATGGGGTCACAATCGAAAGTTGTTGAAAATGTGAAAAAAATTTCACAGAGAAGATGAAATATAAAGGAAAGAATGCGATCTTTGGCTTATGTAGACTTGGATTTAAATCACAGTTCTGCCTCCACATCTGTCTTTCACTCTCAAATCACTTAAACACTAAACTTCCATTTCTTCATGTATAAAATAAAATTAATACTAGTTTACAGCTATTAAGCATTACATAATATAATATTTATACTACTTATCAGATTAAATGGGCCATCATGGAGAATTCATGTGTGGCAGCAGTCTAACCTAAAGCAAGGCAGGGATTCCGAGGCAGGATGCTTAGTCCTTGACCAGGACTGAGGCAGTGACCTAATACAGAGAACGGGGAGTACGGAGCAGGGGATGAGGGCAAGGATGGAGGTGATGACAATGATGATTACTGTGATGAGGATGACAGTGAAGGTGAGAATTACCATAGCTCTGTTCAAAGCTCAGAATATCAGTTTGCTTTCCAAGGACCAAGAAAAATATTTACTCATAATCTTAAAAGCGTGAGTAGCCAAAATCTAGTCTTAGTTAACCTGTAACCTGAGTGGACCCTCCTTACTGCTAAACGAAGTTAGACTATGGAATGTTTTATCCCATACTATGTGAACAATGTGCACATCACATGTTCTCAGTGACCAGCTTCTCTGCCCCCTTGGTAAAAAAGGAGTATGAGTATCCTGCATGCATAGAGTTAGTAAGCAAATGATATTTGGAATAGTGTCAAGGAAGGAGGTGAGCAACACTACAGACCAAGGAACAATAACAAGAGGGTAGCATTGTCCCACAAAGTGGAGTTCAGGAGAGTTTTCAGCTGCGTAGGAAGAGGTACGCCCAAGGGCAGGACTCAGAGCTTTGGGCAGCAAGGTTTTAATCCATGAAATTGTTCCACCTTTATTACTAAGATGAGGGTGGAAACTCAGTTTGTAGTAGATATTGACAATGCAGTGTCTGCGTGTCTCTGCAGTGTCTATGCAAGAATTCTATTTCTACATTTGAGAACCTTATAAAGCCCTTTGCAGGGACAGAGTGACTTCCCTCCACGCCCTAACAAGATAGAGAGGCTGTGAGGCTGCTTTGCAGTAGCTGGATAGTGACAGGAACGCGGGAGAAGAAGAAGTTCATCCTATTTTGTTAGTTTACAAATTCATAGTCGAAGCCAGATGATTCATAGAACAGATCCGCCTCCAGCACCTCTCTGAGCATTGAAGTAAGAGGAGAATCTGGTAAATTATTCCAATTGAAAATCTTCTCCCTGCGGGATCTTTGATATGAACTTTATCCTACCTCTTGACCTACATTTTGTGCTTTCGTTGTACTTAAAGGTAAGGTCAGCGCTAGGTAGGCTTACAGTTTTTCTCTTTTATCTACCTCCCTTTAATCTGAAAGAAAGCTGTGCAGTG